TGGTACCATGACGGATAATATTCAGGATATGGAGGCGCTTGCTACATCCTTTTTCAGAATTTATACACAGCCAATCAGGGAGTACAACCGGATATTATTTTAGATAAAATTGAACCATTAATAACAGAGCAGTTAAATGAAATATTATGTAGTGAATTTTCCGATGAAGAGATCAGTAATGCACTGTTCCAAATAGGCCCTCTGAAGGCTCCAGGCGCAGATGGGTTCCCTGTGAGATTTTATCAAAGGCATTGGGGTACTCTAAAAAATGAAGTGATCAAGGCAGTAAAAGAGTTCTTCAGTTCGGGCGTCATGCCGGAAGGAGTTAATAATACTGTTATAGTGCTAATACCGAAGAAGGAAAACCCGAGCTCCCTAAAAGACTATAGGCCTATCAGCCTATGCAATGTAGTGTACAAAATAGTCTCAAAATGTTTGGTAAATAGATTGAGACCACTGCTCCATGATTTGATAGCCCCAACGCAAAGTTCCTTCATTCAGGACGAATGATTACGGACAATGCTCTGATTGCATTTGAATGTATCTATAGCATTCAAAAAAGTTCTGATGCAAAAGGAAAATATTGCGCATACAAATTAGACCTCGCAAAGGCCTATGACAGAGTTGACTGGAAGTACCTTGAAGGGGCGATGAGAAGATTAGGATTTGCAGAAAAATGGATACAATGGATCATGACTTGTGTGAAAACAGTAAAATACTATGTTCGTTTCAACGGGAACCTGTTGCAGAGTTTCACTCCTACGTGTGGTTTGAGACAAGGAGATCCAATATCCCCTTATCTCTTTCTCTTTGTCGCTGATGGGCTCTCACGGCTAATACAGAGTAAGGTGGAAACGGGTGAATTACATGAGCTGAAAATTTGTAGACAAAGCCCTGGTATTTCACACCTTTTATTCGCTGATGACAGCCTGTTATTTTTTAAAGCAAATAGCGATCAGGCCAATAAGGTAAAGAACATCCTGGACAACTATGAGAGAGCCACTGGACAGTTAATAAGTCCATCTAAATGCTCCCTGCTCCTTGGAAACAAATGCTCACAAGAAGATGGACAGGACGTAATAAATATCCTGAATGTAGTGACGGTGACGTTTGAGGAAAAATACTTGGGTTTGCCGGTTCCAGAAGGACGTATGGTAAAAGGGAAATTCAAGCACACAAAGGATAAAGCGAGAAAAAGAATGAATAATTGGACAGAAAAATATTCTTCCAGTGGAGCTAAGGAGACACTAATTAAATCAGTGGCCCAAGCGATCCCCACTTTTGCAATGAGTGTGTTCAAGTTCTCAGCAACCCTTTGTGAGGAGCTCATGCACATGACCAGAGACTTTTGGTGGGGAGATGATAAAGATCGTCGACGTATTCATTGGTTGAGTTGGGAGAAACTTACAAAACGTAAAAGCCAAGGAGGTATGGGATTCAAAGATCTAAAAGTTTTTAACCAGGCTCTCCTTGCTAGGCAAGCCTGGCGACTTATTGCACATCCGGACAGCTTGTGCGAGAGAGTACTTAAGGCAAAATACTACCAAGGGGCTGATCTGCTAGACACGGCGTTTATTCATAATGCGTCGCCGGGTTGGCAGGGCATCATGCATGGTTTGGAACTCCTTAAAAAGGGATGTATTTGGCGCATTTGCAACGGAAATAGTGTCCGCATCTGGAGAGACAATTGGATCCCGAGAGGAAACATGAAAATAAACATAAACCCAACAAGCTCCCGAACTCGGTGGGTAGCAGATCTCATCGACCAGGAGAGTCACACTTGGAAGGAGGATTACATCATGCGTATATTTACACGCGAAGACGCAAATGATATTTTAAGTATCCGACTACCAAATTATGATGAAGAGGATTATATTGCTTGGCAGCCCGAAAAAACGGAATTTTCAGTGTTCGTAGCGCATACCGGTTAGCCATGGACGAAAAGGATTATGTGGTGATTGGGTCCAGCCACAATACCCAAGGGAATCGCAGTATTTGGAATAATATCTGGAAGACAAAAGTACCCCCAAAAGAACGTATTTTTACATGGAGGCTAGCAACGGAGGCACTGGCGGTTCAAACTAATAGATTTCGTCGCATTCCAGGCCTCACCCCGATTTGTAATGTATGTGGGGCCGATGGTGAAACAGGCTTCCATATGGCACATCGATGCACATTTGCAAGGGCCCTGTGGCACGAACTCAAGGAGGTATGGAACCTGCCCCCTGAGCAGGAAATAAAATATACTGGAAGGGATTGGGTCCTAGTCCTGCTAGATAAGGTGAGTGAAGATATGAAACAAAAATTTATGCTATTTTGGTGGCGTGTTTGGCACCATAGAAATGACGCGATCTTCGCAAAAGGTAAAGCGAAAATTTCCCACTCTGCTCGTTTTCTGCAAAACTATGTTGCAAACCTCCGCTTGATTGCGGACGGAACTTCTGAGATAGATCGAAAAGGGAAAAGTCCGATGGTTAAATTGCCATCTGTGCAACAACATGATAATACAAAGGAAAATGGATGGAAAAAGCCAGAGCTCGGATGGGCTAAGGTCAATGTTGATGGAAGTTTTTTGGAGGAAAGCAGAAGTGGAGCCTGGGGAGCTGTGATTCGAGACCATGATGGAAGAATTATCTTATCAGCTTGGGATTATATACCGCGGTGCAATGGAGCGGACTGCGCGGAAGCCATGGCTTGCCTAGAAGGACTACGGAAGGCAATGCCGGGGACGGACCTACCCTTAATCATCGAGACGAATTGCAGCTCGGTGACAAAGGCGCTCATCCTCTCGTCTATTGACAGATCGGAGATTGGAACAATTGCAAAGGAGTTTCAAGCCATGAAAGGGAACAGAGAAGTTAGAGTTTGCAAAGTAGATAGAAGGGACAATAGGTTAGCTCATAGTCTTGCCCATTTAGGGCGTAGAGAGTTGTGTGGTGGGGTTATGCAAGGTACAGTGCCGACTTGCGTGTTGAGTGAGGCCTTGCACGATTGTACGAACTATATTTTCTCTACTTAATTAATACAACTCTCTATTTCAAAAAAAATCCATCATATTATTAATAAAAATACCATCCTATTGGTAATAAAAATGCCATGCCATGAGAAATAAAAATGCCATCTCTCTAAAATATAAATGCGATCTCTCAATAATAAAAATGCCATCTTCTCAATAATAAAAATCCCATCCTATTATTGATAAACATACCATCCTATTGGTAATAAAAATGACATGCGCTTGGTAATAAAAATGCCATGCCATGAAAATAAAATGCCATCTCTCAAATATATAAATGTGATCTCTCTCAAAAAAAATGCCATCTTCTGAATAAAAAAAATTGTCATCCTATGAAGAAAATGCCATGCTATAAAATATAAAACTGCCATCTGAGAAAATGTAAAAACATTCTGGATTTTTGGACGAACCCAAAAACAGATTAACTTTACAAAACTATATGTAGCATTTCAAACACAGCATGTTTAGAAAGGCCCTCTCAGCCCACTGGCGATGGGCTCCCGTGTGTGGGTTCCACCCGGCCCCTACCTCGTGGCCTTTGTGTGCAATTTTTGGACAAAAAAAAAACGACATGTCCGCTAGGAATCAGCGTACAACAAATGACCGGATAATATCTATTTCTCCGTTCCTAAATGTAAGTCTTTTTAAAGATTTCAAATGGACTACCACATACAGATGTATATAGATATATTTTAGAGTGTAGATTCACTCATTTTACTCCGTATGTGGTCACTAACTGAAATCTCTAGAAAGACTTATATTTAGGAACGGAGGGAGTACGTGGCAATGGCCTTGCGCCAAGATCCGTGCACGTGCAATGTTCGGCGATGAGGGTGTTCGCTGGCTCTTGCCTCCTGGCTACATCAGCTACCATTTCCATATTAATTTGATGACATAGTATCAGTAAATTGAATGACACTTAATAGTAACATGCAAATAAGCATAGTACTCACTCATCAGCAATTCGTCACGTGTCTCATACAAATAAGTTTCTCTCAAGGGAGTTAAAGATGTGGATGCATCCACCTTTTGCCACGAAGGGATGAGCGTGGGTTACTTAGTATGGAGTCCGAACAAACATCAAAATCCCAAAACCCAAACATCTCCAGATTTTCCGCAAAATCCGAGTCCCACCATCACCCATCACGCATCAGCTACTACTTGATTGTTAGAAACCTGAGGATAGACACAAGAGATTAGGCACATGTAAAAGAATGAGCCATAGAAAGGAAAAAAAAAGATATAGAAAATCAAAGCATGTCCTTTTCAAAAGTGAAATGAATAACGAGTTATCATCTGGAATGACATGCATGTCTTGACAGCGGGACTGCTGCGAAGAAAATGGTCAATTGGACACTAGGATGACACTTCAGGTCTCAAAACAATGTATTGCCAAATTTATAGTTCTGTACTTTATGTCTTCATCAGCTAATCATGCCCGCGAGTACAAAACTACTTCTTCCAGATAATGGAAGCTAGTTCAGAAAACACTATACTCCTAGATGAACAGTCCATCCTAAAAAAACATGTTTGTACATTTTAGCAGGTTTACAAATTGGTAGCACAAGACTGTACAACTGGAGGAACAAACTTAAGTAGCTAACATTCTACAGAGATCTGTGCCATTTAAAAATTTGAGCATGTGTATTTAGCAAATAAATACTAGTAGTTCCACTGCAACACTAACTAGAACTTTAACCATTTACAGGCTAACTTCAATGACGACGACATTTTTTTACTGGAGGATGATGATATATAAGTATATAACTATATAAGGCAACACATACTAATTGTAATTGGCAAAAGGAGCAGAACATTATCGCAAGATCATAAAGTGCATGGAATGAATAAGAGATATATCTAAGAAAATTCAAAATCCTAAACATGTGAGTGGATGACATACAGATAATAATGGATCATATAGAAGCATCAGCTAAGAGATAGTTAGTACCCTGAGACACATTGACTGGTAACTTGGCACGCTTCATTTAGCGTGATGTCTGTCTAAACGAACCAGAACATCTGCCAAAGTCTTGTTTTTCGTGACAGACTTCTTACCTGAAAATAGGTTCCTTTCATCAAGGTACAAGAATTTGAACAGAATAGTAACACGAAACAATTCATACTTACAATATATCTCTGCATTTTATATAAGAATTAGGCTAGCAACCAGAAGCTAAAATCGTACAAATTACCACGTAAATATTTGTCAAGAAACTCTCTTTGACCAAGACAATACCTAACTTTATTAGAATGTCAACTATAGAACATGCAGTGTATTAGAAATTTATAAACAACAGATAACTCTAATCATGTTTTAGCCTGGAAAATTTACTTGAAACAAATAACCAAAGAAGGCTGCTGCCACTTCTCAGCATTAACTAGCAGTCAACTAATGATTCAATTGTTTAGAGCTTTAGATCAAAGCTATTGCCAAAGACATGTTGGATTTGTCCCATGAAAATCCCCATATGAACTCCATTTGAGAAATAGTTACAGAAAAGAAGTGGACAGCTTCATAACTGAGAATACGTTGACTATTATATAGGAATAACCTAAGCTACAGTGTACCAGGACAAGGAACATAGCTCTAAAAATTGCTGTTCAAGATAATTTCTATACGACCAAGGCAATAGCTAACATGATTGGAAAACCAACAGGTTGAAATGCTCGAAGAGACATTTGGACAAACTAGAAGCATGCCCCAAGAACACAACAAATGTGGAACACAAGGGGCCAAACACACATGAATTAGACTAAGCAAGTAAGCATAGTCTCATCAACACATCTCTTTTTTCAAGAAATGTGTCACTGTGAATCTGTGATCACCTGGAATCGTGCTTGATCGAAGAAATGAGGGGAGCACACAAGGTAGATAGGAAGTTGTTGCGGACTCGCTCGGAGGAGACATGTCAGTAGGTATTGCAGTACTCTCAATCATCCTCTTCCTGGACATGTCGATGCTGAAATTAACTCTGTCCACGTTGAGATGCAGCAGGTTGGTGTCCAGTGGATCGACAGCAGCAACCAAAGGCATCTCCTTGGCATTACCTCCACTAGGCAAAAGATCAACCGACACCTGGTGCTGCAGCGTCCAGCGGCCGCTCTCGTCGTCGAGCGTGAAGGATCTGATATGGAACGGGTCGACCTCGGCAAAGAGCAGCCTGCCGGCGCTGACCCCCATGTGGCGGTGCTTGATAAGCTGCCTCATTTCGTTCTCGTCCAGTTGGTCAGGAAGCATGCTGTGTGCCGGCAGCTCGACGGGGCAGAGTTCAGGCCGGTCGCTGAACGGATCGACGCAGATGGCGCCCCAGCTCACGTCCACCCACCAGAGCCGGCCTCCGAAGTCCAGCACCTCGTGAACCATGTGCATTCGCCGGTGAGGCGGCATCGGGGAAGGCAGGACCAGCTCGTTCCATTCCCCTGTCTCCGAGGAGAACCGGCGCAGCAGGAAGCGGCGCCCGCCGTCGACCTCGGTGAGCTGAGCAGCGGCATACCTCTTGGGCGGCCCGTCGGCGCCGTAGGCCTGGGTGAGGATCCCCATGCCGTCGGTCAAGGTCTCGTCGGCGCCGTCGAAGTCCGGGAGGCGGAGCAGCTGGCCGGTGACCGGGTTGCAGACGAAGCGCGCGAACCTCCGGTAGAGGAGCTTCAGGTCATGAGCCTGGAGGCGGCTCATGTGGGTGTCCAGTAGGAGGAAGCCGTGGCCGCTGGCGGCGAGGACGAGGCCGCGAAACAGGCTGACGCACTCGGGTTGGGGCGGAAAGGGGTCGATGTCGAGGGCGTGGCTGGGCACGGAGACGAAGGAGACGGACGGCGGCGGGGCGAGCGAGGACGACACGCTCCCCGTGGAGTTGGACCCCTGGGAGACCCGGTACATCATCGCCCAGGGAGGGCGCGCGGCGGCGGTGGAGAGGGAGCGGCGAAGGCGGCCGGAGACGGCGGCGCGGAGAAGGGACAGCATTTTGGCGGCGGCGGATTTGGTGGGGGGAAGGGAGGGGAGGAGCGGAGAGGCCGAGAGGGAAGGCGAGGCAGCTCTGCCTGGCTGTGGCTGGTTCACGAGCAGTCGAGCAGTGGTTCCCGCAGCTCTGACCTCCCTCTGACAATCAGGCTTTCTTTTCCACTGTCAGTGAGACGGTCTATTGGCTATAGGTTCCTCGCGTGGTGTATCCCAACTGGCCAACTTTATGGACCGGCAATGCTTCCTTCCCACAAGCCCCGTCTCGTTGTGGTTGTTGACGGAAAGATTCAAATTGGAAAGAAGGGCTCGGCACATCTCCATCGCTGACCCGCAAATGCATCCGTCCGCGGACTCCTTGAACTCCGGGAGGCGGAACAGCTGGCCGAAAACGGGGTTGCAGACAAAGCGCGTGAACTTGCGGTAGACGAGGTTCAAAGGGGCGACCCAGGTCGAAGAGCGGGTGAGCCCTGGAGTGGGACTTGAGGTGCCCGGAGGAGGAAGTCGGGGCCGCTGGCGGAGGAGGTCGCCCTGTCTCATTTCCGCACCATTGATTGAGGCATGCGGTCCCTACCGATGCCTGCGCTGGCAAGCCCTGCCACCGCAACTAGCCCCAAGTCGTAGTGCGATTCATTTTCCGCCCCTATATGTGAATGAAATGTCGGTTGATGAATCGTTCGTAGTTCTAATTCAGTGAATCATTTTCAGTTATATTTGAATGAATCTGCATGTTGTGCTTGGTTGGGGAATTGAAGAAGACATAGTTAGCCAATGGCATACGGGTGCCACATGCAAGGAAATTTTGGAGGTTGTATTACATCGAGTCTTAGTTTGCACATATACTTTGAAGCCTCCATAATCTTAAGGAAAATCCAATTCCGTAGGTGAACCTTAAAATGGTGACACGTGGCAATTTCCATGACGCACAAATGCACAATGTTCACTCTCATGCCCCCTCCCAGGAAACAACTCAATCGTTTGGTTCCATACATCCTCCCGAGGGAATGACCCGTCTATAGCATGACACCCTCGTATCACGTAGCATGAAAATTACTGGAAGTATGTATGGCAACTGCTCTGTATAGCATGGAATTCTTACACATGTGACATGTGGACAACTTTGCCTTTGTCATAGCCTAACAATTTATCTCTAGCACGTCATGGTAAATCCCTAAAATACGTTGGCAATTCTCTCTGCTGCGGTGTGACAAATCTCTGAAACGCATGACAATTCTTTCTGATGTAACATGACAATTATTTTCTTCTTAGCATGGAAAATCTCTATGTAATAGCACGACAAGTCTCTATATTATAGCATGGCAATTCTTGAACATTTCTCCCGAAATGACTTTTTTAGGGAGCATTCTCTGGTGCCGTCGTTAACTCAAATGAGCTTACCCGAGGGAATGTTTATTCGTGCCAAGGTCCTCTTTATAAGGAATGTTAGCTCCCTATTAGCATTCATTTTTGGGTCTGTCTACGGTCTCAGTCGACTGAGACTTCGCGAAGTCTCTGACATCATCAGTACTAGATTTGGCCCGTTTTACCTCCCTCCCTGTTGGGTTTTAATTTCCCCCGTGATGGGCTTGTGGTGTGGGCTTTGTTTGTTTGTCATTTTTAGAGCAGTGATGACTGTACATATGAGCAGGTGTAGAGGCACACACAGCACACAAACAAACTTTGTGCGCCTCATATCATCGCACTATTTTATGTTTCTTCAGAAAAAAAAATGGTGTTCAGAGCTAGCTAACTGAACCATGTTGTCCACTGTTCATGAAGTTGTTCAGAGAAACTTATAGATGTTTCAGACCTCTTCCTAGTTTCAACAAGAGTGCATAAACATGGTTCACTTTGATAGTTAACCTCCCTGCCCCTTAATTAGCTAGTTAACAAACTTCACGTATTAGCTAGTTAAAACTTCAGCAAAGAGTACAGAGCCACGGCGACGTAGCTAGTTAACTTTCTATGCTAGCTAGTTAATTTCCTGTATCAACTACTCCCTCCGTTCCAAATTACTTGTCTTGGATTTGTCTAGATACGGATGTATCTAGACTCATTTCAGTGCTAGATACATCCGTATCTAGACAAATCTAAGACAAGTCATTCGGAACGGAGGGAGTAGAACTCACCAAAAAAAGATGACTATCTATAGAAAAAGGTTACAAACCAGTGTAGCAACTTCTTCAAAAGAGCAAACCGTGACACCGTTTCTACATGATATCATCTCTCATCTAACTCTGGATCTTCAAGGCACTGATCTCTGCCTTCTTTCCGTTGTCTGTCGTTTTCAGGGGCCTTCCTTCATCATCCATGTCAGTGCAATGCTGTATTCACAAATGAATATGAGACAATAGTGTTGTAAACAGAGAGACTGGACAACATAAACAAGGCAGAAAACTAAGGATAGGAACCGGGCGGACATTATAGCCACTTTCATTGTGAAGTTTAGACGCGATGACCAAAGGTACTTTGAACTTTTTGGCAAATCAGACAGTTTTAGTTCCTTTCATCAATGGTTTTTGCCGCAAAAATAATAATAATAAACACCAGTATATATCACATGAACAGAATGGTGGTAACAACGGAATTGACGACAACAAAACTTAAAACAGTTAAAATAAAAACAGGTTATATGCCACATGTTGGTTGTCAGAAAACTTTTTATTAGGATACACAGGACAAACAAACCTCACCAGCTACTATATATTGTGCACAAAAGAGTACAGACTTGTCTAGATCGCTTCAATAAGGGCGTCTACTGCCATCCAACAGTCCAGGATTTGGGAGTCAGTTTTTAGTAGCGATTTGTTATCCGTTATCTTAGGCGGGGCATTGCCAAGCCTAAAAAAACCTGACTACCGAAAAACATGGGCACCGTCCTGAACAGCCACAACCATACCAGCTGAAAAAATGCTGGATTACAAGGTAAGTGATAAAAACATTTGAACTAGAATGTGCAACTAAAAAGCAAAATCTTGTAAACTTCACAAAAAGTCTAACAACAAAACCATTAGAAATGAACTTTAACACAAAATATGCTCACGGATCCTCATATATTCCCGAGAGTGTGTTGTGATCCATTGTATTTAGCTGACATGTTCTCAACTCTACTTCAGGAATACACAAAATTTTAGTGATTGCTTGTGTTAAAAAACAAGACAAAATGAACAGCAAAATAATATAGTACACACACACACACACGCACACACACACTCCCACCGCCCACTGACAAAACGAAAATGTCAGTCCAGTCAAGGCGCAACACTTGCAGTTGTAAGCCTAATGTTGGACATGCAACTACCAATCACCCTCTCTCGCTCCTCTCTCGCGACACACTAACAAAACAAAATGTCAGTTGCAGTCGTTTGCTAGACATGCAGTTGCAGCCAGAGCGACACTTGTAGTTGGAAGCCAAGTGTCAGACATGCAACTGCACATCACCTTCTCTCGCCGCCCACTGACAAAAACAAAAACATCAACTGCAGTCAGGGCCGAAAATTATAGTTGCAAGCCTATTGCCGGACATGCAACTACCCCCTCCCCTCGTCGCCTACTGACAAAACAAAAATGTCAATTGCAGTTGGGGTAACACTTCTAGTTACAAGCCTACTGTCAGACACGCAACTGCCCCCCCCCCTCCACCCCACCCCCTGAAAAAACATCATGCGAGTTGCAGTCAGCAAGGAGACATGTGGTTGCAGTCAGGAATGACACTTGCAGTTGCAAGTCTAGTATCAAACATGCAACTCCCGCCACCCACTTACAAAACATATGTCAAATTGCATTCGCGTGCGTGGGCATGCAGTTGTAGTCGGGTGTGTAGGCATGCAGTTGCAGTCGACACTTGCAGTTGCAAGCCTACAATTGGACATGCAACCCCACCCCTCTCCTACAGAAAACACAAGCTCGGTTGTAGTCATGTGTGTAGGCATGCAGTTGCAGGCGAGGACGACACATGCAGTTGCAAGCCTACTATCGCACATGCAGCTGCCTCCTCCCTTTCCGACAAAAAGCAGTTGCAGTCGGGAGGGAGACATGCAGTTGCAAGCCTACTATTGGACATGCGACTCCCCCCTCTCCCGCCACCCATTTACAAAACAAATGTGAGTTCGATTCGTGTGTGTGGGCATGAAGTTGCAGTTGGACGGGTGTGTAGGCATGTAGTTGCGGGTCAAGGGCGACACTTGCAGTTGCAA